CCACAAGGTCAGTTTGTACTGCAAAGTCGGCAGTTCAAACTCACCAGCCGCTATTCAGAAACCCTATACAGGGTGGCTGAGAGTTGGAACTGACCACAGCACTTAACATTTCAAAAGCACAGACTTTTTTGAATAATTATATATGCCAGTAATTAGACCTGTAACAAATAACTCAGGTGTTTTTCTTCCTACCTGATGTTCATAGTGTTCTAAAAACAACCGATTTTTCATGTTTTAATTGGTTTTGGAAATTAAAGAATTCTTCCACTCTATATAAGGAGTCTGGCAGTTCAAACCCACCAGTTACTCCTCTGAAACCCTATACAGCGTCGCTATGAGTCGGAATCGACTCGAGGGCACTTAAGCAACAACATCGACTTACAAGAGTCCTGCCATGGCTCTGTAGGATATGCACTGGACTGCTAACCGCAAGACTGGCGGTTCAAATCCACCAGCTGCTCCTTGGAAACCCCAGGGTCACTAAGAGTTGGAACCAACTTGATGGCACTTAACAAAAACAACCGTATACAAGAGAAAATTCAAACACTATGCCCGTGAAACGCTAGCAATTCAGTGTGGGAGTGGCTTTGAGAAAAACATTGCCACTCAAGTCTTGCCCTTTTTTTGAAAGATTATTTATACAAACTTCCATAAGCACATATGCCATGAGACACGTCCAGAATTCATAGTCAACAACCTGTGCTTGGTTATAAAGTCTCACTTGTTGTGACTGCATTTAAAAGTCTGTCTACGCGATGTTACCAGCAGCACAAGCTTTTAACACGGAGTATGAGAAGCGGTGTCTGAGTTATCACATTAAAAAGTAAAGCAGGAACAAAGGTACGAGGGGAAGAGTGTTTGATAGAGCGCTAGCAGCAAGGCTTTGCAAAGCCTCCGGCACGTGGGGTGCTCGCTCCCGGGCAACCTCTTCGCCTTAGATAAGGTGGTACTCATAGGAACCTTTTTTGGAGTCCTGGGATTTCGGTCCCTAATTACTCAGCCTGACCCATGAGTCAGCAAACGTGAGATAAAAAGAAGCCGGAGGGGCAGAAAACGCCCCCCAGACTCTTCCTTTAGATCTGGGGCAGGATTACAGTAGGAAGCAAAAAAACACTCTTCGCGGTCCTACATGTACGGCAACGAGTCCCCAGATCAAGGACGTAGAGATCCCGGGGATCTCCAGAAAGGGGACTGAAGTAGGGGTGACTGCAGCGGGACGGAGTCGGGGAGGGTGGGCACGTACCCGAGGTCAGAGCATGGGTGATGGCGGTGCCTTGGCCGTCCGCAGCGCTCGGTAGGAGCAGCATGATGGCGCCGGGCCTAGCACCGCGGACGCGGCGGTTCGCGTCCCAGGCGAAGGGAGTTTAGCCTTTCCCTTCGGCTCTATCTTCCCGTCCGAGCCTAGCGCCTAGGTTCTACGCCGCCTAAAAACCGGCGCATGGAGACGCTCAATAATCACTTCCGGGATGGAGCCTATGCGGTGTAGTTGAAAATCTACGCCCCGCCCCCCCGCGCCAGCGCGTGCGACTGCCTCGGTTTTTTTTTTTTGGTTTTTTTTTTTTTTTTAAAACAGACTGAGATCCGGCTGGGTACCGAGACCTGCGAAAGAACAGTTCCTATACTCAACAATTCCGGTTTGAAAAGTGATTATTTTCTTAGTTGATGTGCAATACTAGGAAATAACTTTCCATATTCTATTTGCGTTTCGGCTATTTTATAGCTGATTTTTCCAGTAACTCTACAAAAAGATGTCTCTGAACAAGTTGTTGTTGTTGTTAAGTGCCTGGAGTCGGTTCCGACCCATAGTGACGCTGCACAGGGTTTCCGAGGCTGTAAATCTTTATGGGAGCAGAACGCCTCATCTTTCTCCCGCAGAACCGCTGGTAGTATAATATATACTTCTATAAAGGAGCTAATATCAGGGTCAGCAGTTCGAACTACCAGCTGTTCCGCGGGAGAAAGATAAGGTTTTTCTGCTCCCGAAACGATTTACAGCCTTGGAAACACTGTTTCCGAGTCAGAACCGACTCCACAGCACACCACCACCACCGCCATACATCTATAGGAAGGAACCCTGGTAGCGCACTGGGTTATAAACTAGGCTGGCTAACCTACAGATCAGCAGTTCGAATCTACTAGCCGCTCCGTGGGAGACAGATGAGGCTTTCTGCTTCCTTTAGGATGACTGTGAGTCAGAACCGACTGGACAGCAAACAACTACCACCACCACAAAAGGTGGTTCGAGCTCAACAGTCTCTCGGAAACCCTATATAGGGTCACCATGAATCCAACCCCACGGCACTTAACAACATATAGCTACAGAAAGTTATGTTTATACTTATATTTTGTTGTTGTTAAGTGTCATCAAGCCAGTCTGACTCGGGAACTCTGGTAAGCACTGGACTGCTAACTGCAAGGTCAGCAGTTCAAATTCACTAGTTGCTCCTTGGAAACCCTATACATGGTCATTATGAGTCGGAACCTACACGACGGCATTTAACAACAACTTATCCTTTAGCGTCACACCAGTTGTTGTTAAGCGGTGGACTGGTGATGAGCCGTTGGTGAGTTTAAACCGCCAACCTTGCAGTAAGCAATCCAGTACTTATCCTACAGCGCCATACCAGTAGTTTACATTTGATTTTTTCATTAAATGGTTTACCTTCATTATTTTATGTAATTCTAACATTCGTAGACGAAATCTCTCTTTAGTGGAGTAGTGCATTCATACCTCAAAGGTCGGCAGTTCAAACTCACCAGCTCTTCGGAAACCCTATACATGGTCACTATGGGTCAGAACCTACAAGACGGCACTTAACAACAACAACAGAATGAAGTTTTTGTTTTGTTCTTCCCCTATTGCCCCCTCCCAATTGCAGAGCTCTGGGACTTCAGTAAAATCAGTTGTAGGAGTTCTGGTGCTGTACAACAAGCGCTTGACTGCTAAACACTAGATTGGCGGTTCAAACCCAACAGCAACTCCTTGGAAACCTTATACTAAGCCAAAACCGGCTGATGGCACTTAACAACAACAAAATCAGTTGTATTCTTACTGTTTGCTTCCTTCTAGGGCTTAGGTCAATAGCAAGAACCTGCACCTGGAAACCAGCCGATGAACACTCACCCTCAGTAACTATTTGCAATTAGTTTGGCAAAATAGAAAACTTGATGCGCCACTCTTCGGCCAAGAACACCAGAAGATTCTCTTCTTGTTGTTGTTAGGTGCTATTGAGCCAATTCTTTTCAATGCCCAACAGAATAAAACCCTTGCGGGTCTTGCCTCACCCTGACAATCTTCTAGGGTGGAGCCAGCCACTGCTGCAGGCCTTGTGTCGATCCAGCTCTTGAGTCTTCATCTTTTTTTTTTTTCTAATCCTCCACTTTACCAAGTATGATGTCTTTCTCCAGGGGCTGGTTCCTCCTGATAACATGTCCAAAGTACATGAGACAGGTATTCCCATAGGATTACATTTTGGCTGTTTATGTTGAATTGGTCTGGATATCTGTGGCATGGCAAAATTGTATTTTGAACCTGGCATTTGAAAAACGTAACTAATCATATCCCCACAAATCTTTTGCTGACCCTTTTCTCTATCAATGCAACCACTGTTAAAACAGGTTCTAAGAACCAAAATTGTCAATATTAGTATTTTTCTCACATTTCCTTCCAATTATTCTCGACTTCAACACAGTTCATGAGTTATTTTCATTTTTATACTCTACAATTACATAATTGCTCTGTTCTAGACTCATTATTTTCTTTAAACAAAAACAACTTCCCTGCACCCCAACTTCTTTGTATGTAAGGATGGCAGCAACCTTTGTTAGCACCAGGTTTGTTTTTTACCTATACATCCCATGTTAACATCACATTGCTGTTTGTTGCAGTACATCACATTAACAAACAACAAATTTTCACTTTTTGTTTATCTGTTGTTATGTGCCATGGAGTCGGTTCCGACTCATAGCGACCCTGTACAGGGTTTCCGAGGCTGTAAATCTTTACGGGAGCAGAAAGCCTCATCTTTCTCCCGCAGAACAGCTGGTAGTTTCGAACTGGTGACCTTGTGGTTCGCAGCCCAATTTTTGTATATCTAGCTATTATTTCGCTGTGAGCTAATGAGTCAGACTGCAAAGCCGTTTGAATTGCAAGGTTGGTAGTTCAAGCTCACCAGCTGCTCCTCGGAAACCCTTACAGCCTCACTATGGGTCAGATTTGACTCGACGGCACTTTACAACAATAGCCACTATTTACTGCGTATTTTATATGCCAAGTATTTTATGAACGTTGCTTTTTACTGCCTCTATAGGAGTCCTGGTGTGGCGCTGCGAGTTAATGCGCTGGACTGTAAGGTCAGTTTGTACCACAAGGTCTGCAGTTCAAACTCACCAGCCACTCCTCGGAAACCCTGTACAGGGTCGCTAAGGGTCGGAATCGACTCGACAACTCTTAGCAACAACATGAGTCAAAATCGACTCAACGGCACATAACAAAATCTTGTAAAATGAAGACAAGGGTAAAGTGTATTACAAGTTCGGATATTAAAGAAATTACCCAACGCTGTACAACAAATAAGGAGCTCAGGTAACGTAGTGGTTACAAGTCGGCCTGATAACCTCAAAGTTAGCATTTCGAAACTACCAGAGGTTACGCTGGAGAAAGATGAGGTTTTCTGCTCCCGTAAAGATTTACAGCCTCGGAAACCCTATGCAGGGTCGCTCTAAACCGGAACCGACTCCACGGCTCACCACGACCGTACAACAAACTAATGACTAAATCAACATTTAAACTCAGCGACAATCTTGAGATTGTTGCTAAGGAAGCAGGAGGTAATCTAAAGATGGTGAGAGGTCATCAGGAGACCGATGTGCCCTTCTTAGGGTTAGCTTCTTTACTCTCACAACAGCAACCAAGATACTAATATTGAAAGGCTTAGCGCAGTCCCTACAAAGCCTTCTTCCGGTGAGTTTGAGTTAAGGGACCCGCGGAGCCTGGTTCGACTTCCGGTGGGGAAGGGAAAGGAAAAGCAACACCGGAAGGGAGGAAGGTGCTGTGTAATCACTGAGGATTTGACGCACTTGGAGCTCCTAAAATGCCGGATTACCTTGGTGCGGATCAGCGGAAAACCAAAGAAGATGAGAAGGAAGACAAGCCCATCCGAGGTCAGTTGAGATGGGCAGGAATTTGGGGCCGCGGCGGGACCAGGTCTGGCTCCGAGGGGAGGATTCCAGCTCCCGGCGCGGCGATCGGGCCCTTTTGTGCCCCTTTTCATTGATCTCTGGGCAGTAGCCCAGTTAACCTGCCTGCCCTCTCTATCTCTGTCATTCCACATCCAATTTACATATTTATCACCTTCTGGTCGAAATTTGTATTCATTCTCAGCTCTTAAAGAAGTCACGCACCCTGTTGGTTCTCGCAGGCCTGAAAAGTTCCCCTGCCTTGCAGTCTTCAGTCACCTGAGTCCTTTTTTCTCCCTCTCCTAAGTGTGGCGTCTTGTTGTTACCGCTGTGTAGTCGGGATCCTGATACATAATCGTCTTTTCAGAAGACATTCATTTGACTGCATACAACTCTCACGTGGTTCAAAATTCAAAATGCAGAATAAGAATACACTAAAGTTTTTCATCCTTAACCCCAAGCACCCACTTTTCTGTGGAGTTAACCAATGTTGCCATTTTCCGCATCCTTTTAGATAGATTCTATGCTTATGCAAGCAAATGTGGGCATATACTCATTTTACTTTTTACATAAATGTAGTATGTTGTACTTACACCATACTATTTTGAAATCGTAATGTATCCTGTTGTTGTTAAGTACCGTGGAGTCGGTTCCTACTCATAGTGATCCTGCACAGGGTTTCCGAGGCTGTAAATCTTTATGGGAGCAGAAGGCCCCGCTGAACCGCTGGTAGTTTTGAACTGCTGACCTTGAGGTTAGAGATTAAAATTTTATTTCATTATGTACAGTTAATGTTGTCGGTGTCTTTCTGAATTTCCAGTTTGTGAGCACAATAACTTAATTAGTCTTTATTGATGGGCATTAAACATTTTCAATCTGTTGCACCTATAAAACGGAGATTAACCTTGATCATAAAACTTTTACCACATGTCCAAGTATAAATTGTAGGATATATTTTGTAAGTGAAGGTGTGATTTTGACAGATAACACTAACAGTCCCACCCATAGTTCGTAAGATAGACATACTGTTTTGAGTTGTGAATTCTTCTCAGTAGTCGTTTTTCTTGTTTAGAGAAAAAAAAAAAGAAAAGCTTTTTATTGTAAATTGAATGAAGGTTTACAGAGCAGATCATCAGTTTTACATTCATTAAATCATATGCTTTGCTTCATTTGTAATTCCTGTGTACTATATACACATCAGTTACTGTACTTATCTCTATTCACTTTAACTTGTGCCTTCCTTCCTGTGTCTCCTATTTTCATCTTTCCTCTGCCAACCTTTTGTTAAGTATTGCCTGCTCCGTCACCCATGTTAACATGTGTCTGCCCTCTAGCTCTGGTAGCATTTGTTGTTGTTGTCACGTGCCATCAAGTCAGAACGGACTCATAGCGACCCCATGCACAGCAGAACGAAACAATGTCCGATCCTCGGCCAACCTCACTAGGCCAACCTCACTACCGCCGCCACACTTGACGCCATCAATGATGTCACCTGGCTGATCCATCTCGTTGGGGGTCTTCCTCTTTTTCTCTGACCCTCCACCTTACCCAGCATGACATCCTTCTCCAACAACTGTTCCCTCCAGACAATATGTCCAAAGTAGAAGAGACGAAGCTTAGCCATCCTGGCCTCCAAGGAGCACTCTGGCTGCACTTCTTCCAAAACAGATCTATTGGTTCTTTTGGCAGTCCCTGGCACTTTCAGTATTCTCCAACACCACAACTCGAAGGCATCAATTCTTCTACGATCCTCCTTATTCACTGTCCAGCTTTCGCATCCATATGAGGTTATTGAAAATACCATGGCTTGGGTCTGGTAGCGTAGTGGTTATGAATCGGACCGCTAATCTCACAGTCAGCAGTTCGAAACTACAAGCTGTTCCGTGGGAGAAAGATGAGGCTTTCTGCTTCCATGAAGATTTACAGCCTCAGAAATCCTGTACAAGGTCACTATGAGTCGGAACCAACTCCACGGCACATAACAACAACAACCCTCTAGTCTGAGAATAATTTTCCCTCTTTCCCCTCCCTTCCTTCTTGAAGCATCATGGAATGTTTCTTTTATCAAGAAATTTTTTTTCTTAAGTTTTTATGACAGTCTCATACAATAAGTGCCCTTTTGTGCTTGATTAATTTCAAGCAGCATAATGTCCTCCAAGTTCATCCATGTTGTGAAGTGTTTTGCAGATTCAATATTATTCTCCAAAGTTGCTACTCAATTGTATGTATGTACCAAAGATTGTTTAACCATTCTTCTGTTGATGGGCATTTAGGCTGTCTAATCTTTTTGGTGTGTCTCTTGTAGACAGCTTATGGAAAGATCCTGTTTTCTTATCCATTCTGCTACTCTCTCTTGACTGGTGCCATTTAATCCATTTCTATGTCAGTGTAATTATTGATAGGTATGTGGTGCTGTGGGTTAGTGCACTGGACTGCAAGGTCAGTGGTTCATGCACGCTCACCAGCTCACCTTGGAAACCCTATACAGAGTCACTGTGAGTCAGAACTGACTCCATGGCACTTAACAACAAGGTGAATTGATTGCTGTCAGTTTGCTGTGTGTTTTCGTGCAGTGCTGCTGGTTTCTTTGTTCCACATAATTTTCTGTACTAGTTCATTTTGTTTATGGGTCTTCTTTTTATTTTCATTTCTGTTGTGTTAATGTTTACCAGAATTTTCTGATTTTTATCTTTTGTATTTTGATGTGAAGGTGTATTACTTTTCTCTGAGGTTACTCTGTAATTTATTCATTCTTCCCATTTTAAGACCATTTGTTTTATCTTGAAATCTACTTGACTTTCTTGCCATTTAGAAGTTTTATCTCTATACTATTCCCTCTTTTTGCTTTGTAGCTGACTTCATTATATATAGATTGATATCTCTGGTTCCCTATTTTCAGTCTTATATATTTGTTTTACTTCCAATACTTATATATCTGGATTGAGTCTTGGGTGGTGGTGTTTTATGCATGTTAATCGTAGGTTGCTGTTTGCTGTTGTCGGTTCTCAATCCAAAGTTGGTCTGGTCATTACAGATTCCTTTTAATTTTTGTTTATCTGGAAATGTCCTAATTTCACTGTAGTATTTGAAGGACAGATTTACTGAGCATATGATTCTTGGTTGGCAAGTCTTTTCTTGTAGAGTTTTGTGTATGTTATCCCCTTGCCTTCTTGCTTACATGGTTTCTGCTGAGAAATCAGAGCTTAGTTTTTTTGGTTCTCTTTCATAGGTAACTTTATTTTTCCTGAGCTCTTCTCAGGACTCTTTCCTTGTCTTTGGTTTTGGACAGTTTGGATTATGATAAGTGTTGGTGAGTTTCTTTTGGTATCTATCCTGTTTGAGGTTTGTTCAGGTTCTTGTGTGCTTATCTTTTCATCTTTCTTGATATTATGGAAGCTTTTGTCCAACAACTCGTGACGTTTTCTCTTTGCTTTTTATTGTTTCTTTCTGTTCTGGAATTCCTATTATCTGTAAGTTATTACTCTTCATGGTGTGCCACATAACATTTAGGCTTTCTTCAGATTTGTTTGTTTGTTTGTTTTTGTAGCTTACTAGTATTGAGAGATTTATCTTCAAGCTCACTAACTCAGGCTTCCATTGCTTTAGAACTACTCCTTTGTTCTTTCAATGTTTTGTCTATTAATCTTCTGGATTTCTGTTTGCAGGTTTTATATTGTTTGACCACATGCATTTCTTTTGTATTGTTCTTGTAGTGTTTTCCTGAATTCTTACGCTTTTACTGTGTTCTCCTTGCTTCCTTCCATCTTTCTGTCATTCCTTTGAAGGTACTTAGGGATCATTCTTTTCAGTTATTCTTCAGTTAGTTCCATCACCTTTTCTTCCTCAAGAAACATTTTCTGGCTCTGCAATTTGGTCATTTGTTTGAGCCATTCTCTCTCATACTGAAATTGTGAGGTAAAAGTGTCTTTTGTCTCTGGGACATTGTTGTCATGTTTATATTTGATTAAGGATTGTATGTTGCTGTGTTCTTAGGCTCTCCTCAACTATCTTTTGTGGTGCAGTTAGAGAATAGAACATACTTTCCATTCTTCATTCAATATTCATGCACCTCAATTTAGGGTGGATTTGACTGGTAGTGGGTACTGTCTGTTGTCCATGTGGTATAGGAGCTGGTATTGACTCTTGCCCAGTGGGTGGAGCTGAAGAGGATACAGTTGTGGCTATGCTGTATGGGTATAGTTGCTGTCTCCAATCGGGTGGGAAAGAGGCAAAACACTACTGGCGCACGCACGTACACACACACACACACACACACACAGGAAAACGAAACAGAATAAATATGCAAGCAACCAGAAATTAAACGAGAAAATAGTAAAGGAGAAAAAAGAAAAACGGGCAGCAACCAGGGGGAAAAAAAGGATATAATAACTAAAAAGTGAAAAGAGGAACAGAAATAGAAAAGAAAAATAAGAAAGAAAATGAAAGGAAGAAAAAAATTAGATAAAACAGGGTGAGGGAAGATAAAAAGAGAAAGAGAGTAGTAAAGAAGACGACAAAAGAGGGAAAGGACAAACAAAAGCAGGGATAGAAAGGATAACATTGAAGGGAATAAAAAGAGAAAAAGGAGAAGAGGAAAGAACAAACGGAAGAAATGCAAACAATCCAGAGCAGCTGTTAGACCCCCCGGAAGGCTACAGTAGCCCCCCAAGGAGCTCACATTTCACAAGTCCTCACTTCAGTCCCGCTGATGACTTTTCTCTCTGTTGACAATAGTAAGAATCCTCTCAGGCGTTCTCTTAAGTTCTCTGTCATCTTCCATATTTATTTTAGCCCTGCCTCAGAGGAAATTAAAAATTTTTGTCAAGTCTAACATTCCCATCTGTTTTCCTGACCCTATTCCTTCCTCCTCTGGCTCTTTGCTTTATTAGTTACCACCTCTCCTGTTTGTTTACCAATGACAGCCTCTCTGCTGCCCTATAAACATGAGAGAATGCATTGTATCCTAAAACACAGTGGAGGAAAACTTTCAACCCTCCTGGATTTCTGGTGTGGTGTTATAAGATCAGCACTGGACTGTGTTCAAACCCATCAGCTGCTTCTTGGAAACCCTATACAGGGTTGCTATGAGGTGAAACCAACTCGACAGCACTTAACAACAATACCCTCTCATGATCAGTTACATGGGAGAATATTAGCTTTACATTCATCCTATTGTATATTGTTTCATTGCCATGAATACAATCCCCTCCATGCATCATCAACCAACCAAAGGGTATACCCCACAAGCCTGACCCTCAGTTGTCAGCACCCAGCCCTTCTCTCTCTCTGGGTATAGAGTCCCCAGCCACTCCATCTCTCCATATGCTTTTTAAAAAGCTGTTCCACAGGAGAAAGATGAGGCTTTCTGCTCCCGTAAAGATTTACAGCCTCAGAAACCCTATACAGGGTCACTATGAGTCGGAACCAACTCCACAGCACATAACCACCACCACCTTTACTAGTAGTATTTCTTGGATCTCTCGATGTGTAAAAACACCGTTCTATGTTATTTTCAATGCCTGCATTGTATGGTGTGGCGCTGTGGGCTAATGCGCCAGACTGCAAAGTTGTTTAAACTACAAGGTCGGTGGTTCAAGCTTACCAGCTGCTCCTTGGAAACCCTATACAGGGTCACTGTGGGTCAGAATTGACTCAGTGGCACTTAACAACAACAGTTTATTTAACCAACATCCTTTATGAGTGTAGTCTATGTATGCACTATCTAAAGTATATAAGATAGGTAATTCATGAAGTACTTTTCTTATCCTTCCTCTCCTCTCGAGTCCTGGGACTGTTTGATGGTCATATTTGTACCATTAGAACTGTTTTCAGTTTTTTGACAATATAGTAAGAATTGAGCGAAGAAGAGAGTTGATTGATTAACTACACTTTATTTTGTTTGAATTTCATGTATTGTCTCTTTTTTTAGCACTGGATGAGGGGGATATTGCCTTGCTGAAAACTTATGTAAGTCCTTTCAGTGTCTACAAATGTAGAGTTCTATGTTGAAATGAAAAGTACTGTGTGATATTGTCCCTCCAAAGATTTAGTAATTTATAGTAAGCTTCACTGAAAAAAGTTACTTAAAGTTTCTATCTAAAGTAGATGAGAGCATAAACATCTACCCTGCCTCAGTTTATACATCAGTTTTATACTATTTGTAATTAAAGCATAATATAAGTTAGATTAGATTTGATGGTACTAAACAACAGCACTGTATTAAAAGATATTTCAAATCTTTTACATAGATCTTTATTATGTATGCAACTGAATTAGATCTGAAATAGAAAGTTTTAAAGTACAGAAAATGGACCTGTAATTTTGGATACTTTCTAAAAAGATTTACACTCGTTCCCTTGCATAATGGTGGATTGTTAGTAGGGAAATTCTGACTCTGGAATGCTTCTAAAATGATGTACTCCCTTTCTCTACTTTCATTTCACAAGCTTTTGTATAATAGTACCTACTAAGACATTAAAGGAGCTCTGGTAGCGTAGTGGTTACGAATCGGGCTGCGAACCTTAAGGTCAGCGGTTCGAAACTACCAGCTGCTCCGCGGGAGAAAGATGAGGCTTTCTACTCCCGTAAAGATTTACACCCTCGGAAACCCTGTACCGGGTCGCTATGGGTCGGAACCGACTCGATGGCACACAACAACAACAACAAAAGACATTAAAAGTTTCTACCAGTGGTTTAATAAGTTGTTGATATTCTGATGTTCTAATTAAACTGAACTTTATCTCCTAGGGTCAGAGTACTTACTCTAGGCAAATCAAACAGGTCGAAGATGACATCCAGCAACTTCTTAAGAAAATTAATGAGCTCACAGGTATGTGCTTTTTCATTCTCATTTCCTTCCCTTCAGTGTAATGTGTTAATTTTATTAACAGTTTAAATATAATTTTCCTTTTGTGAATACCAGATTTTTAAAAAATGTATTATTTTTCCTATCTGGTAAGAAAATTAGATCACATTAGCAGCGTCTTTCACTGTCTTTTTTTTTTTTTTTACGTTTTCATTGTGAATTATGTGATAGTTTACATGGGAAAACATTAACTTTACATTCATCCTATCGTATATCATTTCATTGTCATGATTACAGTCCCCTCCATGCATCATCAACCAACCAAAGGGCACACTCCACAAGCCTGCCCCTTGGTCATCAGCACACAGCCCCTCTCCCTTTCTGGGTCTAGAGTCCCCAGCTGCTCCATCTCTCCATGTCATTGTCTCTGCCTCCATCTCTGGCATCACTGCTTCTCTGGGTAGGGTCCCACACTTCACGCCTCTCCCGTGATGGTTCCAGGGACCTCCACTTATGGACTGCAGAGTCAACCACTCCCCTCCTTTTGCTACAAAAGTCTACTTTTACATTTCCAACTCTCACAGTCAGTCCTGATAGCAGTTATTCACTTTTGTACCACATGAGTCTTATCCCCATCTCCTTTCATCAGCCCCATCCAGACAGATTGGAAACCACTCAGTGGGGATTCTATCTTCCTTAGTGCCCTCTGGATCTAGGCCCCCTCTTGAAAGCTTGTAAGCCAGTCACTTCTTGCCTTTGTAGCCCCCCCCGCCACCACTCCATTTTGGGTAGCCAATGTCTAAGTTGCCCATCCCTATCTACCCTGTCTTTCACTATCTTTTGAAACCATGCTTAATGTTTATGCAGTTAGAAAACAATAAGCAAGTAATGTTTCTATTAGTTAAAGGCAATATTACTCCAATTAGCAACTCAACGTTTTTTATTGAATAAAAATATCTCACATATCAAAAAAATAGAATCTCACATACCGGAACTAAACCACTGGTCAATTCCAACTTACAACAACCCTATATAGGATTTCTGAGACTGCAAATCTTACAGGAGCAAACAACCTCATTTTTTTCCTGTAGAGTGGCTGATGGTTTGAACCACCAGTCTTCTGTTTAGTAGCCAATCGCTTAGCCCACAGTGCCACCAGAGCACCTTAAGATTTCACATAGTCTTGCTGTAATGTAAGTGGGCTGTTGCCTGGTTGTTGAAAACTGTTCTTTTGGGTAACTTGAGTGGTGACATTTTATAGTTTTTGACCTGCACACACACACACACACAAAATGTTACATATAGCATTACATTTTGGCTTGATGATTAGGTTTTTGACTATGGCTAATGTTTATTCAAAAGGGACATTTGGCAATGTCTGGAGACATTTTTTACCATGAAGACCATCAAGAAAGGTGGTAGTGGTAGGGAGGGAGTGAGAATGCTACTGGTACCTTATTGGCTAGAGGCCAGGGATACTGCTAAACATCCTGCTATGCATAAGGCAGCCCTCCACAGAAAACGATGATTCAGTCCAAAATGTCAGTACTGCTGAGGTTGAGAAAACCTGCTTTAGGCTGATGCATTACATTTCAGTGAATTTTATAATCTTCCTCTCTAGGCATTAAAGAGTCAGACACGGGCCTGGCCCCTCCAGCACTCTGGGATTTGGCTGCAGATAAGCAGACGCTGCAGAGTGAACAGCCTTTACAGGTTGCAAGGTATGACAGTGCTCTCAGTTTAGTTTTACCTGTGCTTTCAGCCACTTTTTAAGTGTCTCAAGGATAACACAATAGTTTATAAAGAATTTTTCCTAAATTCTAAGTAAATAAAAATGTCTATAAAGTCTCAAATTAAAATTCTATTCCTTAAAAACTTATTTAGGAAATATATGAAGACTTATTTATGTAAAAGATTCAAATGACCACTAAAGATCCTGAGTCAAATCTGAGTCTCCTTTGCCATCCTCACACTACCAATGCCCTTCTCAGACGTAACTAATAACAGTTTTTCCTCCTACTTATGCTGTGTGTCCTAGAAATCTCTCCATGTGTTTTATATAAACAAGAGGATGCTGAATGGTTTAAAATCAGGAAAGGTGGGCACCAAGGTTGTATCTTTTTACCATACTTAACCTATTACCATACTGTATGATAACCAAATAATCCGAGAAGTTGGACTGATCATATGGAGAAGAACTTGGCATCAGAATTGGAGGAAGACTCTTTAAGAACCTGCGATATGCAGATTATATAACGTTACTTGCTGGAAGCTAAGAGGACTTAAAATATTAAACCAACACCCAAGACTGCAGTCTTCAGTTTAAAGAAAACAAAAATCCTCACAACTAGACCAATAAATACCATCATGATACAGAAAAGATTGAAGTTGTCAAAGTCTTGGTTTTGCGTGGATTCACAACACTTATAGAAGCATCTCTCAAGAAATGATGTGTTGCAGTAGGCACATTTGCTGCACAAGACCTCTTTAAAGTGTTAAAGAGAAGCCTTGGTATTTTCAGTCACTTCATGTGCATGTGAAACGTGAACAATAAATAAGAAGACCGTGGAAGAATTGGTGCATTTGAATTATGGTGTTGGTAAACAATTGATGCGATTGAAAGTACCATGGACTGCCAGAAGAACAAATAAATCTGTGGGAAGAAGTACGGCCAGAATGCTCCTTAGATGTGAGGATGGTGAGATTTTGTCTCTCATTTTTGCACATGTTGTCAGAAGGAATCAATCCCTGGCAAACTGGAGTGTCAGTGAAAAGGAGGAAGATCCCCAACGAGATGAACTGCCATGGTGACAGCAACAGTGGGCTCAAACATCGTAACACTGAGGATGGCACAGGACGGGGCAGTGTTTTATTCTGTTGTAGGTAGGGTCGCTATGAGTTGGAACTGACTTGACTACTCCTAGCAACAGTAACCTCTTTTTCTTTCTTTTTAAATTTTTTTTAAACAACTACACTGTTGTTATTGTTAAGTGCTGTCAAGTCAGTTCTGACCCATAGTGACTCTGTATAGGGTTTCTGAGGAGCAGCTGGGGATAATAGTCCTGATTATACTTGTAGAACTTAGACTGTTTGCAGTTTCTCTTATACACAGTGCGATAGTGAATCTTCATGTTAAATATTTCTGTTTATGTGTAACGTTTCTCTGGGATATTTACTAGAGTTGTAATTATGAAGTCAGAGGCATTGGCAATTCTGAAAATCTGAAAAATAATGGTTAACCTCTTACACTCTAAATATGATCATTTGAAGCAAATGCCCATTTTGCCTGTATCAGTGTAATGTATGTGTTTATTAGCTTTTGAAATTTTCCCATCTGAGCAAAAATACCTCATTTCAATTTCTACTGTACTGATTACTAGTGATAGTTATTCCTTATACTTACTAAAACCAAAACCAAACCAAACACATTGCCATTAAGTTGATTCCAGCTTACTGCCCCCCATAGGGTTCCCCAGGAAAGAAAATGAAGAGCAACTTCAGATACAGAGGGTCTCATTAAAAATACAGGGATGTTGTTGTTAAGTGCCTTTGAGTCCGTTCCGACGCATAGTGACATTATATAGGGTTTCTAAGGAGTGGCTGGTGGGTTTGAACCACCAACCTTGTGGTTAGAAATCCAGTACTGATGCTACAGTACCACATTTGTTGTTAAGTGTCATCAAGTCAGTTCCGACCTATAGCGACTCTATATAGGGTTTCCAAGGAGTGGCTGGTAAGTTTGAACCACCAACTTTATGGTGCAAACCAACCTTGAGGTCCATTTCTTATCCTGCAGTACCACGTAGGAAAATCAAGAAATTGGAGAATGCTGACGTACTGGTTTAATTTTCCAGGGAAATATGGCTCGGATAAAATTGAATGGACCTTCGGGGTTGTCATATTCTGTAGAATGGGATCTCCATCAGTAGCCTGGTTTCTGTGGTTCTAGTTACATCTTCTCATTAATATTCTGTAGGCCCAGAGAGAATCCAGTTACTTGAATTCATTTTTAGTGGTTTAGGTTGCTTAGGCATTAATCCAGCCTTTTGCTGTCTTAGGTGTACAAAGATAATCAATGCTGATTCAGAGGACCCAAAGTACATTATCAATGTGAAGCAGTTTGCCAAGTTTGTGGTGGACCTCAGTGATCAGGTGGCACCTACTGACATTGAAGAAGGAATGCGAGTTGGGTAAGATTGCTCTTTAGAGTAAATGCACTTTCAATAACGATACCATGTCATATTCACATCCTTGGTTTTATTTTCAATGATGAACTGAGTAGTAAGGGATAATCTAGTTAGTAGTGCACTACTATAGTTGAACATCTTTTTGTCTGCATCTGCTGCCTAACTTCCCATGTGCCCATCTCCTCCAACTGTTGCCTTTTTTTTTTTTTTTTTTAAATAAAATGGTTTCAGCATGTTATAAAGTAATTGTAGAATTTGAGATGTAAGCGTAGTAATCCATGGTGTAAATGGAAGCAGCACTTGTTTGGTTTCAGGCTGAACTAAAATTCTTTTCTATCCCATTCTAGCTGTCTTTACCCTTGGACATGTTAGTTAACCCCTCTGATCTCTCTGAGTTTTCCTATCTTTAAAATAAGGATTAAGGGAGTTAATGTATATAGTGGACTTCATTCATTCTGTACATTTTTGTATCCCTTATTCCTCTTCAAGTCAAGGGTTCCTTACTGCTGTGTAGGTTGTTTGCCACGGATGAGTTAGTGCCCTAAGTTTTAATGCTGTCTTTAGACTGTATCTCTCTGTGCACATTTAAAGTATGGTTTTGAGGCTAAAAGATTAGACATATAAATGTAGTGGAGACTTAAAAAAAATGCGTTTAAAAAAAAAATGTGTTGATGAGTATCTTTTAAAAATTTCTTAGTGTGGACAGAAACAAGTATCAGATTCACATTCCACTGCCTCCTAAGATTGACCCAACAGTCACCATGATGCAGGTAAGAAATGTGAGGGAGGAGGAGTGGCATGGCTCTGTGCTCTTAAACCCCTCTCTCCAAAATAAACTGGAACTACTAATACATTGTTCACATGTGGGTTACATACGTCAGAGTTTCTGGGAAACTATAAAACATTTTATTTTCCCAGATAGAATGCCTTTATTTTTCTGTCCCTTGCAGGTATACCAAATAATTCACCAAGGTGTTCATCAGGCAATCTATTGTACTTTTATTAAAATCCTTACTTGCTATCAATTTTTTTTTTCAATTTAAGGTATTTTGGGTGTCTTCTACTGGATAGATCATTTGAGCTGGTGGTCAGAAGCCTGTGGATATATGTTGTGTTTTCATTCCCCTTTTAGGTGGAAGAAAAACCTGATGTCACATATAGTGATGTTGGTGGCTGTAAGGAACAGATTGAGAAACTGCGAGAAGTAGTTGAAACCCCACTACTTCATGTAAGTGGCTTCATCTGTTACATTTTTTATTTCTTTGCAGAAAAATTTAATAGCTTGTGTATTGATCACTGAAATTGTCTATGTTAAATAGTTCTTGATATTTAATTATTTTCCTTAATGAAAATTTTTGAGGGAGTCAGGCTAAGAGTAGAAGTTGGTAAATTCTAGAAGAGATTAAGATACGATAAGGATAGTCAGGCATGCTTAAAAAGAATAGCAATAACAGTCTGCAGTTTCGAGTGTCAGAGGAGATTGGGGTGTAACACTTTGTTGATGTTAGGTGCTGTGGAGTCAGTTCCGACCTTAGTGACCCTATTCACAATAGAAGGAAATATTGGATGGTCGTGTGCCATCCTTACAATTGTTGCTATATTTGAGCCCATTACTGTTGCTATTGTGCCTGTCCATCTTGTGCCTCCTTTTTGCTGATTCTCCACTTTAGGAGCTCTGGTAGCGTAGTGGTTACGAATCGGGCTGCAAAGCTTAAGGTCAGCAGTTCAAAACTACCAGTTGTTCCATGGGAGAAAGATGAGACTTTCTGCTCCCGTAAAGATTTATAGCCTCAGAAACTCTATACAGGGTCGCTATAAGTCCAAACTGACTCCACGGCATATCACCACCACCACCACCATTTTACCAAGCATAAAGTCTTTATCTAGGGAATGGTCCCTCCTCATAATAAGTTCAAAGTATGAGAGACAGAATTGCCATTCTGTCTTCTAAGGTGCATTCTAGCTGTACTTCCAACACAGATTCCTGTGTTTGAACAAACATTTGTTTGTTCTTCTAGCAGTCCATGGTACTCTCATATTTTAGCTTTTTAGCAATGTGTAAGATACAGATTAGTTTAGATGAAACCATATGTTCTGGTAACATCAAGAGGAAATGAGTTTCTATTGAATCAAATTACGCTTGAGAAGATCATGAAAAACAAGGGTATTAAAAACCAGGTAATGCTTTTGCTCTTTAAATACTAACATTATTTAATTAGGAAAAAAATGTTAAGACTGAATAATAGAAACACTTTTTAAAGCATTAGGTGTTAGTCTGAGTTTAGATTAGATCTTATGGTTTAGAATAATTATAAATTCTGTTTTAGGTCAAGTATATTGTAAGGAGTGCTGGTGGGGATAGTGAGTTACATGTTGGGCTGATAACCAGATGGTTGTTGGTTCCTACCTACCAGCCACTCTGCGGGAGAAAGACGAGGCAGTCTGCTTCCATAAAGATTTACTGTGTCTGTGGACCAATTCCCCTGATTGATAACCAAGTCACTCAAACCGGGAGTATTGCCCACTCCCTGACGAACGGTTATATAAAGAAGCAGCCAAATTGTATTCCAGGCTCCTCCTCCTCTTCTTTTGCAAAGGTGGAAGCCCCTCCTTACCTGTCTCTGTAAGAACATCTATGCTTATAATAAAGCTATTCTTCCATTTCCCTTAAAAAAAGAGACAGATTTACTGTTTCTGAAGCAAGTCTTTCTCCTCTTGTGTCACTAGAAGTCTGAATCGACTTACGGCAGTGGCTTTGGTTGTTTTGTTATATAGATCGTGGATCTACAATTTTTGTTTTAAATATGTTGCTGTAGAGTCTTATTTTTATTATACACAGAAGTAACCTGTAAAAATTGTGTCTCCATCACAGCCAGAGAGGTTTGTTAATCTTGGCATTGAGCCTCCCAAGGGTGTGCTGCTCTTCGGTCCACCAGGTACGGGCAAGACCCTCTGTGCTCGGGCAGTTGCTAATAGGACTGATGCTTGCTTCATTCGTGTTATTGGATCCGAACTGGTACAGAAATATGTGGGAGAGGTAAAGTAAATTTATCACAATCAAAGATTATGTTGCTCTGTGAAAAGATCGGTGAAGCTCATGTATTAAAATGGCACTTCCACATTGAGGAATGAAAAGCTGAAATGTCTTGAGGGAGTAATTGTCATTAGAAGTTTAGAAACCCAGAAGCCTCCTGCCTCCCCTTGTTTGGAAATACAGGTAGCCTGCTGGTTATGAACGGCACCTCCTACCTCCTTTTAATATTATGTGAATTCCCCCTGACTGAAAACTACCGAAATAGCCCCCACTTGTAACAAATCCTTCATCACAGTCACCTTCACTTCTTGTGTGCTTTCAAATCATTTGAGAAGATTTTCATCCATTTTTTTGTAATACAGTTACACTAAAAACCAAATGCACCTAGTCCAAGTCACCTACATATTCCCCCCACCCCCTCCCTTTCAGACACAGGTAGATTCCTACCTGTGTTACTACTATCCGTATAGTAGTAACCTGAGGATTGTGTATTCAGAAGGATGACATTTTCTATAGATCTAGGTTGTAATACAAAAACCGCTCAGGAAGTTAATTCAAAGTGTACTTTGACTTCATGGTAGTGTTTTATGTTCTTACATGGAAGATGGAACCTGAGTTGTCTCGGTGGATAAATATTGTGGGTGTTTACACACACATATACCTACATGAAGTTCCTAGTTTATACATGCACAGGTTTATTCCAAACACAGCAGGTTTACACATCTGTCTGCTCTCTGTGGATGGCTGCAGAACAGTTCTCTCAGTTGTTTAGTCTAAACAGTGGCTTCCAAGGGTAATCTGCTGGAGCGGTTCCGTTCAAGGCAGAAAGGTCATGCCAGCACTTTTGGTGTTTTGGGGGGGATTCCAAAGGGCTGGTCAATCTTGTTAGAGACTCTCAAAGACATTTTCAGAAAATGGGAAATTGCATTGGTGAAAAAAAGGCCAGGAAAGTTGTACCGAGGACTTTCTTTCCCATCCTGCAAGTGTTACCTGCTCATTCATCAAGGACAGCGAGGACTGTCCTGTGAGAATTTCCTGAGAAACCTTCCCCGTAAACCCCACACCCTAGTCTTGTCCCTTCAGAGTTCCATTTTGCTTTTCAAACTGAAACATTGAAAAGGAACATGATTTGAGTTGCTTTGAAGACGCCACAATTGTTGTTTTGACATAGTGTGAATTGAAGAGTGCAGAATTCTCTGAGAAGAAGGGTTTAAGAGATGGGAATACTGCCTTGAGAAATGTATAGACCTAGAGGGAGCCTTCACATTTTCTTTTTTGTTCAATAAAGATTTCTATGATTTTTGTGGGAATACTTCTGACTTTACCCTTGCATGTGTGTGTATATTGTTGGTAGAGAATAAGTCTAGGATTGTACCTATTGTATCTGAACCCAATCACTGGTAAGTATATTTATACCAGCGATTGATTATAAAAGGAACTGCAAAAGTTGGGACACACATCTTTCCCTGATCAAATTCTATAATGAGAAGTTATGAGTGGTAAATCAGATGCTTATATTTCCTCAAGTTTTACTGATTTAGAATGGTGCCTTTATTTTATTTTACAGTGTTAATTTAACCTCCTCAGGTCCTAAAATTCTTTGTCTTTAGTAGTTAGATATGAAAACTAGTTAATATTGTTTTGAGCCATTAAGATTAGTCTGATGGAATGATCAACAACTTCAGTGTTTTTTAGGAGTTAATAAGCATTATAATGATTGAGAATACTGTTATAGATACTAAAAAGTTTGAAGCATAACTTTTTATTGTATTTTTAAAGATCTTAAAACCAATTCTGAATTAAATTCTTCTTCTCTTAAGGGTGCTCGAATGGTTCGTGAGCTCTTTGAAATGGCCAGAACGAAGAAAGCCTGTCTTATATTCTTTGATGAAATTGATGCTATCGGAGGTATGAATAATATTTTAGAGAACTGCTTTGGGGTTGGGCTCTGTAAGACTTCTTTTTTCCTTCTCTTTTGAGCTTTTTATTATCATTTGGATGCAATGACACTTCCTGAAACTTCTAAAGTGATAATGGGTGCTTATTTTTAATTCTGACCCTTTTATGATGAGCTTTAGGGCATTGGAGCCACAGATTCTAAGAAATAGGGCTAAACTAAAAGGGGAAAGCAACATATATAGATAGATACATAAGAATTTCTCAATGGCAAATGTTTTATGTAATGAATATCCGTAAGACACGTTTTAACAACTCCCAAATTGGGATACATCTTCAAGTAATATAAGACTGGGACACAGTTTAATTTTCCTTTTTAAAAATACTTTTTTGGATTTCTGGTGATGTTTACAAGCAGTTTAGGTTCCCATTCAACAATTTCTACACCAGTTGTTTAGTGGTAGTGGTTACATTTTTAACAGTGCATGAGCAGTCTCCATATTTCCATCCTGGGTGTTCCATTAATCTAGTTTTCCTGTCCCTTTACATTCTCAAGGTGTTGGTTGATTGTCTCATAGGTGAAGTGAGGTGGTGGTTTTTTCATGTCCATAAAGTAATGTTAGCTGTATGATCTAGTCAGGTTACTTTAACTTCTGAACCTTTGCTCATCTTAAAAAGGAAAGCTTATTTCCTGAGTTTCCTTTTAAAGTTCATATTAAACCATAAAGGTGATAGAGTATGAAAGCACCAGTCTCTCTTCTAGACACGACCATTCTTAGGTCTGTATCAGAATAGCTGTAGCCTTTCGTGGTCGGAATGTGCTAAATGGTAAAAACGACTTGAAAATATAGAGGGTCCATGCAACACTGTTTGGGGACTGTGTCTGGGTTACCCAGATTCTTGTTTTTAGGTGCCTGGGCCATGTTAGCTTTGAACATTCTTCAATTAATGCTTTTAACAACTCTGATGTGACCAGAGTGTAAAGACTCAGTGTTGTGACTCTGAGGTTATTTTGATGGTTTTGCACTGTTATTGTGTCAGGGTACTCTGAAGCAGTGATTCCAAAGTGGATTGGGTTTTTGTTGTCTCTGTATGCCATTGAATGGATTCCGACTCATAGGAGGGGTTTGAACTGCTGACCTTGCAATTAGCAGTCCAGTACTTATCCTACAGCACTACACCAAGACTCTGGATTGTGTATAAGATGGTTGAATAGGGTGTCGTTGTTGAGTGCTTAGTAGGTAAAGGAAGAAAATACTAGAATTTTCCTATGTATTTGATTTTAATCTTAAATTTTTTCTTTTTAAATAAGGTATGTTTTAGTATAATACATATTTACGGTGGTGGTAGTGGTTGTGTGCCATTGAGTCAGTTCCGACTCATAGCGACCCTACATAGGGTTTCCAAGGCTTTACATTTTTACAGGAAGAGAAAGCCTCATCTTTGTCCCACAGAGCAGCTGGTAGATTTGAACTGTAGACTTTGTAGTTAGCAGCCTAACACATAACCCACTTCACTGCCAGAGCTCCTAATATGTATTTATACAATGAAAAAAAATTATTTGGAGCTTCTTAACATTTTTTCTTTTATATTTTTTTCTTTTTTGTTCTTCTGGTTGAAATGAAAGAAAGACTGACATGAACCTAATATGCCCAAATCAGCATAAAAGCTATTCTGATTCTACTACATTCTGGACTTAGCAGTTTTAAGAAATTTAAAGTAGTATGAGTAATGTCCATGCAGAATAATATTTTCCTACAAAGAATCCAAAAATGCTAAAGTTTGCATCATGTCCTGTTGCCTAAGCCAGGTGTATATTCTGTTAATTAAAAGGTGTTTTTGAGTGATTTGAAAAGCAAAGTTTCTTGAAGGAGATTTTGTAGATTCATTTTGTAGTTTGTTTTGGTAAAGCAGGCTTTTCTTAAATAGGATCTGCTGAAAGGTGAGGTGTGCACTTGTCCTGGAAGGCGTGATTGAGCTGAGATGTACGGAACACCCAGTTACGGAGTGCTGCTCGAAGTGATGGTTCTGCTTATCTCTTTATGTTCTAAGGGGCTCGGTTTGATGATGGTGCTGGAGGTGACAACGAAGTGCAGAGAACAATGTTGGAACTCATCAATCAGCTGGATGGTTTTGATCCTCGAGGCAATATTAAAGTGCTGATGGCCACTAACAGACCTGATACTTTGGACCCAGCACTCATGAGACCAGGGAGGCTGGATAGAAAGATTGAATTTAGCTTACCAGATCTAGAGGTAAGAAAACGATTTCCTTTTAGAAAGTGGGTTCTTGAGATTTTTTTTTCCCTATAACGTTTTTTTTTTTTTTTTTGATTTGTTAATTCTGTCTTTAGGGTCGGACTCACATTTTTAAGATTCATGCTCGTTCAATGAGTGTTGAAAGAGATATCAGATTTGAATTGTTAGCACGGCTGTGTCCAAATAGCACTGGTAAGTGGCAAGTTTTGCTTACATTTGCTGGTGTGTATGTTCTGGCTGTTTTCATTAAGCCCATTTCTTTTCTTGGTGTTTGGCAGGTGCTGAAATTAGAAGTGTCTGCACAGAAGCTGGCATGTTTGCGATAAGAGCACGGCGAAAAATTGCTACTGAAAAGGATTTCTTGGAAGCTGTAAATAAGGTCATTAAGTCCTATGCTAAATTCAGTGCTACTCCCCGATACATGACTTACAACTGAGCCTTGAAGGCTGTCAGTGAAAACACTTCTTTTCATTGGAATCCTAGCCTTATATAAAGAGACTTGTTAACAAGCATTTCACAGAAAAATAAATGGTTTCAAATTCAAAACTGTATGTTTTTTCAGCTCTCTTCTCTGCTACTGTGGAACCAAAAAATCAAACCCCTGGCTAGCAAGTCAGTTCCTACTCATAGTGATCCTTCAGGACATAGTGAAACTGCCCCATTGGGTTTACAAGGCTGGTAAAGTCTTTACAGAAGCAGACGCTACATCTTTATCCACTGAATGAGTTGGCGGGTACACAGTAGAAGGTGACAGCTAAAGTCATTAGGCAGAAGAGTCTGTTACAGTGTAGGTTGGCTTTTTTGATCCACTATCATTTAAAAATAAAACATTATATTAAGTGCTAGCTTAGACGGTATGTGTTCTAGGCATATGTTGAGTGTTGTACAGATACTATATCTCTCACTGTAACCTCTCATCTGCCCAGTGAGGTGGAGCTGAAGGATTTACGTCTAATGGCTACAAAACTTACCTGCCTGAAATACTCAGTGGCAGAGCTAGGTAGGATTCAGGTCCAGTTTTTCAGCTTTACCATCTATTTGAGTAATCTTTATTCTCTTCAACCCCTCATCAAAATAGTTCATCTAAGCAAAAGACCACAGATATTAGGATGTGATGTGTGTCCCCCCATTGAATAATAAAGCTTTGGCCAAACATTTTTTTGACGTGGAAGAAGCATTTGCTGTTATACATTAAATAAATCAAGATTTTTTTTTTTTCTGGGGAAGAAATGAGGAAAAAAGACAAAAACTTGTCAATGGGAGAGAGGGGAGAGTCAAAGGAAATTTGTCTTATCTGTAAATGTTATTACTTAAAAAGAAAATCTATCCACGGGTTGTCTCTGATTTCACATTGTCATGAGGGAACTAGAAAAGCCTGGGCGGTTTTAACCGGCAGTGAGGCGGCCCAGCGAAGGCAGAAGGGAATGCACACATATCATGGAATTGGCTTCAGACAGAAATGCTTCTTTTCATTTTGTAATCAGTGTAAAACTGTTGGACTTCTGGATTGCAGTCAGGTATTTCTAAAATACAGGTTGTGTTAGAATCCTCAAAGGGGCTGCTTAGGTTACTCCTGTGAAAACACCTTTCCACCACAGTGTTTTCCCCAAACCTTCTGAGACTCCAGCACAATAAGGACCATTTTTATTGCAGTTCAATATTTGTGAATAAATAATCCAAAATAGCAAGAGCTAGATAAATGTTTAATTCACAAAAGAAAGAGTTGACAATATAGAAAATGCTGTAAGTGTTGTATTGATACATTTAAACTTATAAAAGGTTTCAGACAAAATTAAAGCACTTCATTCATAAAATCTAACATCCTTAATATTTTATTTATGTAAAATTATCAGAAAAATTCTGGGTTTCTTTTTTTCTAACTCTGCCCTGTTCTCTCTTGAAGTATGAACTATAGAGTGAACCATTTCCAGGTTTAGCTTTCAATAAAGTATATTCTAGTGAATTACTGAAGATGTATGTTTTTGTAATGTTTTGATTAGAGAAATGTAAGCATTTAGAACACATTCTGAAATCTTACTGCTTTTTCATATAGCCACATCATACACACCAATTCGAGACAACTCACAATGATTCTGTTGAGCTAGCTCCTAAAGGTGATCCCGACTTGGAGTAATCCTGCCATTCCAGTTAGTTACATGATGAAAATCTAACAACACATCTAATATATAAAGGTTTGAAAAACATGGGTGTTATGCAGGGCTCCTCTGAAACTGTTTGTTGTTTTTTTCAACATTTGAAAATGTCACTGGATTTATAAAATTTCCCTTCCCATGAAGCTTTTCAGCTTCATCTAATACGTAAAGTGAAGCACTATACACAAGCACAATGAGATGCCTGAGAAGCTTTTCAAGAGGCAAGATGGGTTTTTGAGATGTTCAAATTTGATTAAATCTAAGTCAGTAAAACAGGCAGATTAAGTGGTGTAAAATGCTAACTTTAAACCATTTGGGTTTCAGAGGTTAAACCATTGCATGTATTTTGGTTGGGTATACATTTGGGGAACTGGATTTAAGTTCTCAGGTTATTATTAATAATCTAAACAAATAGAATTCTAAAGGCATTCCTGAAAGGTACACTAAACAAAAAAACCCAATAGGTTTGCACCCACTAAGACATAGGCTCACATCAAGGAAGTTTTGAGTTTAGAATTTAAATTGTTTTACTTGGTTTTTTAGCTTTAAAGGGGCAGAAATGATACAGATAAAACCTTTGTTGACAGCTTCCCCCCCACCCCCTCCTCCTATCACACAGAAAAGCACACCCAACCACTCCAGGGAAGGTTCTAGATTTATTACCCTCTCCACACACCCGTGAGGGCAGCCTCCTTTTCTCATAAAGCACGCTCAGAAGCAGGTGCCTCCTCTCTCTACAGGCTCAAACCACGTGAAGTGGATAAAGTCAATGTTTTAGCTGTTACCTGAAAACCAACAATGAGCTATATCCAGGGCTGGAACAGGAGCCATTACCTTCACTAGCAGTGGAAATGGGTAGCTGCAATCCCACTGTCAGCTGCCATATAATCATACAGAGTTGATGTGTGTGACTTAATTGCTAATTTCCTGGCCCTGGTTCAAAATTATGTTCAAATATACCCCATTCCTCAATGAAGGCAGGCATCAGCTATTGTTATACTACATATGATTTGAGAAAGACAAAACAAAGATGGTTTCCCCATGTTGCCATAAAACCCGGCCAGTCTAGTCCCTATTTCAATGAAGATTATGTTTATTTTGATAGGGCATAATCCAAATCTGAATCTCAGTGGAAAATCAAAAAAGACATCCACTAGTAGCTTCCAAGGCCCAAAAATAGATGTGCTTAGATAGTAGACTTACACATTAATTCATTGAGAGGTAAAGTGAAAATGTGATTGTAAGAAAAAAAAAAAAATTCCACCATATGAAATGATTTAAGTAAAACATTACAACATATTTACATACAGATAAGTGCTTTTTGAAATGTACTCACGCTCTCAGATGCATGCTAAAACAAAAACAAATTTTCCCACCTTCAGAAAGACTCAAGTGCTTTTTATGTACATGGTAGAATTCCATTCAAATATTAAAAATTAAAAGTTGAGTACAAATTTGTAAGTTGTACACATGAATACTTTTTCTATACACTATTTTCAATCTGTCAACAACTAGGACTTAAGTATCTACGGTAAGACAGACATTTCTTCAAGATTGGTGTTAAAAACTAAGCAATGAAGCATTTTATACTACTGAATCTTTAAGTGGCTGCTGAAATGATGCTGGGTCTAGGATACAAAAGTGCCTAGGATAAACTGAGGTTCTACAACTACATGCTCTTTCAGAAGGTAGTCTGTATAAGAATGCACATGTATCTGATCTTGTGTGTGATGATTGCAAAGTAACTGGATGCAAATCTGATATCACTCTAAATCCTGATGAAGTACTCATTAGGAAAGAGGGGTCATCTTTGAATTAAATTAGTAAAGTCACTGAGGAACATGACAGGCCTTTGGTTTCTGAAGCAGACCTATGCTAATTCTCTCCTGGAAACTAATCTCCTTTCTCCTAGCAGTGTCTTTTTCATGGAAACTAAAACAGAAAGTCAACAGGCAAATGTACAGAACAGACAAACTCACTAGTAGAAGGAGATCTTAGGTTGGCTGGCGTAAGCCTGTACTTTGATTTACAGTGAGCTGATCCCACTACCATCGAATTGATTCCAACTAATAGTGATATTGTACAGGGTTTCCAAGACTATAAATCTTTGTGGGAGCAGACAGCCTCGTTTTTCTTCTGCAGATCAGCTAGTGGGTTTAAACCTCTGACCTTACAGTTAGCAGCCTACCAACTAACCCACAGTGCCTACCTGCCACCATTGCTCCTTTCAGTGAGCTGATAGAAGTACAAACTTGTGATGACAAATTGGCCTAAAGGTTTCCTCCCCGCTCATTCCATTTTGAGCATTCCACATTTATATATCAATTATAAATATTGAGGTAACCATTTATTGAAATCTAAAACTTAAAATTCCACCACTCGTCTGTCAGTCTGTCGTACTGTGGTGGCTTGTGAGTTGCTGTGATTCTGGAAGCTATGCCACTGGTATTTTAGATACCAGCAGGGTCACCCATGGTAGACAGATTTCAGATGAGCTTCCAGACGAAGACAGAATACAAAGGAGTGATGAACTAATTCTCAATATTTAGTCACTGAAAAAGGAGCTCTGGTAGCGTACTGGTTACGAATCGGGCTGCGAACCACAAGGTCAGCAGTTCGAAACTACCAGCTGTTCTGCGGGAGAAAGAAGAGGCGTTCTGCTCCCGTAAAGATTTACAGCCTTGGAAACCCTGTACAGGGTCGCTGAGTCGGAACCAACTCCACGGCACATAACAACAACAAAGTCACTGAAAACCTTATGAATAGCAGAGAAACACTGTCAGAAAATTGGAAGTTGTCAATAATGAAATGGAACATGTAAACATCGATATCTTAGGCTTTAGTGAGCTGAAATGGACTGGTACTAGCCACTTTGAAACTGATGACCACATGGCTTACTATGCTGGAAATGATAAACTGAAGAGGAATGGTGTTGCATTCATTGTCAAAAAGAACATATCCAGATCAGTGATGAGGTACAATGCCGTCTGTGATAGGACAATGTCCATGCGCCTACAGGGAAGCCCAGTTAATACCACTGTTACTCAAGTTTATGCACAAACCACTAAAGCCAGTGAGGATGAAATAGAAGAATTCTACCAATTTCTTCAATCTGAACTTGATCAAATATGCAAACAGGATGCATTGATCATTACTGGTGATTGGAATGCAAAGATTAGGAGCAAAGAGGAAAGATCAGTAGTTGGGAAATATGGCCTTGGTGATAGAAATGATGCTGGAGAATGCGTGATAGAATTCTGCAAAATCAATGATTTGTTCATTTCAAAT